ATAGAGTCCATTAATGACTCTTGTGATCATTGCCCTTGACATGAACACCGAGGGATGGCAAGCAAAACTAGAGCCAGATCGGCGTTAGATCCAAGAATCACGGGGAGTACCAAGTTGGGCGAGGGAGTTATCAAGAATAAGAGGTAGTAAGGAAAAATATTACAGTTACCTTTCTCAGAAGGATTGCTAGGTAGTCCTTCTCTTTTGAGAATTCCTTCCAACTCCTCTGCTAAAAAGGCTTCTCGTTTGTTGTCAGGTACTTGCTTGGCTTTCTTGTAAACTGTAGGAGCAACGCTGTTCATTTTCAATTGAGAAAATGAGATGCAGTCATAAGAGGTTGATAATGACAACTTGAACACAGACTTCCAAACACACCAACCTCATTCCACATGATTTAATTATTGATCTCAGATGGTCAACTCGTTTTCCATATCCAGGAGTTGATTGTTCTTTTCTCTGCATACCAAAATTAAGTACGAAGATTCAGTGGATAAAGCATATACCTGCACGTATTTGTAAAATGAAATCTAGGTACAGAGAAATGAAAGACTAACCTTCACAGGTTTTCCAACAGATGATTGAGATTGACCATCTTCAGATACACTTCCATCATTATCAGAATCAATATATTCCTCTTTTGGCCTCTTTTCGCGCATGCTTTGCTTCTTGCCAGAGACAGCGGGATTGCTATCTTTGTTGGACCTTTTACGTTTCTTATCCTTTTCCCTTGGAGCAGCCTGCTTCCTTGATTTTACTCTGTCTTTTTCCTTGTCACTTTCCTCATCTGAGGAGTCAGAACCTTTTTCACTGCTTATCTTTTGTGATGTTTTATTTTGAGATTTCTCAGAGCTTTTCTTCTTAACATGATTAGCATTCTTAGAAACTCTGCCTGAATTCAGTACCTAGACAACACCAAAATTTGATGAATATGGAAATTAAATGCTTTCATTCACAAGTTCAGATATATTCAGAAGAATTTTTCCACCTGATCTATTTGCTCACTTATTAACTTCTTAAAAGGATCGAGAGTATTTTTATCAAGTCCAAGATCTTCCTCCAAAAGTCTGCGAACTCCAACCAAAGTTGTCTTCCTGGAAAATACACTAATGAGAGCATTGATTTGAAATTGACAAAAAGGAAAAGCTGAAACTAATATGCTTAGCCAAAGCCTATCAAATTGTTGTCAATATTGTAAACAACAGCATCAAGCTCAAGCTTCCTCCTTTTTAGCATTGTTGTGCTAATAGGATTTGGTTCAAGCTTCTCCCTTTCATTTTACTCAAGGGACTCATTT